TATCTCCATATGATTTGTGAACGTATCTGATCAACGCCGTTATGATCATCCGGTTAAAGACGACGTTTGACGCAGTCAAGACACGTCACTCCTCATATCAGATACTCTAGACATCTCAGGTCTGAGGATCCAAGAACGAACCGCTTTATGAGATTCAAGTCATGACTCTGTCCATGTGACAATCTCATGCGGGTCATCCAGTCACTCGTTCACAACGAGTACCCATGATTGTGACATGCATTCAATGCATCGATCACACCTCATGCTAGTCTTAATTCATCATTGTTCCCACAATGATAACTGACCAGGGTGTTTAGAATCATTCTGTAATGATTCAAGGATACCGTAATATAACAAACATGCCAATCATATAACGGGAAGAGTAATGCATTCATGAACCAATGAATCAATACAAAGTCAAAATGTCATATCACGGATCATCCTAGAGCATTACACCAACAATCTCCCACTATGCTCTATGATTTATCCTACAAGCATCTAATCCCCATTCCCTTAACATGACCATCATGTTTTGACGAAGTGAGAGGCTTCGTCATCGGGTCGGCAATATTATCATCTGTCGGCACTCTGCTTATCTTCACGTCTCCTCTGTCGATGATTTCTCTGATCAAGTGAAATCGCCTGAGTATGTGTTTGGATCTCTGGTGTGACCGCGGTTCCTTAGCTTGCGCAATCGCACCATTGTTGTCACAATACAACTCAATGGGATCTGCAATGCTAGGAACGATGCCCAGGTCTCCCACGAATTTCCTGATCCAAACAGTTTCCTTAGCTGCATCCGATGCTGCTATGTACTCGACTTCTATAGTCGAATCTGCCACGGTTGGCTGTTTGGAACTCTTCCAACTGATAACCCCACCGGTTAGAATCGAAAACATAACCTGACTGCGATCTGAAGTCATCTCTGTCGGTTTAGAAACTAGCATCGGTATAACTACTTATAGCGAGCTCGTCTTCCAATCCGCCATACACCAAGAACAAATCCTTAGTCCTTCTCAAGTACTTAAGGATGTTCCTGACCGCAATCCAGTGAGCCTCACCTGGTGTAGACTGA